TCCTGCTCTTCAAGCAGTGCTCCAGAGGATATCTGTAACTCATTCTTGCCCCGTTTCTTCCTGTAAAAAGAACAATTTAGAGCAAAGTTGTTCTTCAACATTTGCACAAAGACTACTGTATCACCATAGCCTGGCACCATAATACAAAGATCAGGTTTGAGGTTGAACTTATGACGGGAAACTGACGCTGTTATGTAATCTGGAGAGGCATCTTCGCCCATGAAACACACAGGAATATAAAATCAATTTAATCAGAACAATGCTCTTCTTTGACCATCGGTCAGATTATTTTGTGTGAGATTCGAGATCTTTATCGTCAGCTGACATAATTGAGAGTTGTTTTTGCACCACAGGGAGTGCTGCACACACTCCAACATGTCTTTGATGATTAACCCAAATGCCAGGCGTCCATATGGGGTGTGGCACTAAATAACTTTCACTTCCAACCACTTATAATCCCCATCACACACACACAAAGACACACACACGTTACTCACAAGTGCTTACATTCAGTGTTACTCAACAAAAACGCATTGCATGTGTCCTCGAGGTATAACGAAGTTGTTCAGTGCGTTTCCTCTCTCGTAAAAAAGCTTTTTTTATTTTTGCCTCACCAAACTGAGTCACTATCTTTCAAGGTGAAATCCTTTTTTAAAAAATGTGTGGATCTGCAACTGGATCCGGACCTGTTCCTTGGACCATAGCTTTACTGCGAGCAGATCAGAGTTTTTTTTAATGGGATATGACATTCAGAGTACACCCCAACAATAGACACAAACACGGCAAATCAATACTGCACAGAGAATCGATGCTGAACATTTCATGACAGAACTGCATGTTCATGTTCCAGCAAGCGAGAATGTAACGAAAGCTCTCGAGAGTCTTATCTTGGGAAAGGAGAAATATATTCTGAAATGACATAACACAAGCCTCGCAGAGCCAGACCACAGTTTTGCTTCTCATTGTGGTCTGGCAAGGCCACGGATGAATTTGCCACAGAAAGACCTAATTTCACGTCGGCTGCAGGAATAGATGATCGACTGGTACAGCGCTTCCTTCGCTGAGACAACAGCGGCTCATTTGGTAGATAAAGTGGTTTTAGTGTATTTTGGCCATACACACAAAACCCAGTGGCGTTCCCCAACTGACATAGCAGATGTTTGCTGTGACAACAAGCTGTGACTGTGTGTGACAGCTCAGATTAATCTCAAAACTAACCAGGAAATCCAGTTTCTTTTATTTTTACTCCACAAAGCTCTCCTGTCAGCTCCTGTCTCTGTGAGATACAAACTCTGAATAACTGCCAATTTTTGCTATCGCTGAAACATTTTCAGCATACTTGCTTTGGAAATCTGAGTTTGCAGAATGTTAGTCCAATCGGAGTCAGACATTTGATCTTAATCTTTTGGAGTACATTCTTATCTCAAACATTTTTTTTTGCTTTCTGCTCTATTAGTTTTTATGTTGATAAGAATCTTCTTGAATGTCAATTTAATCTTCAACAAAAGCATTATTTTATTATATGACTTTATTGCCAAAATCTATTACTTCTGAAAAAAAATAACACTTGAACATGAAAACCTTGTTTTTGTGCAATTTGTGAACAATAAATAAGGAAA